CTAAACCCTAAACCCAAAAGAGGAGCCCCCGGCAGTGACCGACTCGGTATTCAAGGAGATAGCTGCGGATAACCTCAAGCAGGCTGCGGCTTGTTTTGGGGTTTCGGGTTTAGGGTTTAGGGTTTGGGGTTTAGGGTTTGGGGTTTAGGGTTTGGGGTTTAGTGTTTGGTGTTTGGGGTTTGGGATTTGGGGTTTGGGGTTTAGGGTTTGGGGTTTGGGGTTTGGAGTTTAGGGTTTGGGGTGTGGGGTTTGGGGTTTGGGGTCTAGGGTTTGGGGTTTAGGGTTTGGGGTTTAGGGTTTGGGGGTTTAGGGTTTGGAGTTGAGAGTTTCCGGCAATAGAGGGTTGCGCTGTTGCGGGGGTTCCTATGCTAAGGATGAGAATTTTTGGGGTATATAACCCTAAACCCTAAACCCCTAACCCCTAACCCCTAAACCCTAAACCCCCATTTGGTTTGCGTCTTGGGGTTAAATCCTACAGATTCACATCGCTGTTCAGCGATGTATTCCAGAGTGTGCCTTTAAACCCTAAACCCTAAACCCTAAACCCTAAACCCTAAACCCTAAACCCTAAACCCTAAACCCTAAACCCTAAACCCTAAACCCTAAACCCTAAACTTTGTTGGAACCTTTGTCAGTTCTTCTTGGATGAGTTGCTTCTCTGCGAGCGGCGACTTGCAAAAGCCTCACCGCCAGTGCACACTGGACCGTCATATCCCTAAACCCTAATTAAACCCTAAACCCTAAACCCTAAACCCCAAACCCCAAACCCTAAACCCTAAACCCTAAACCCTATACCGTAAACCCAAGGCCGCAGCAGCGTGTTAAAGCACACCACAAGCACTTACAGCATGAAGGCAAACCGAGTCTGCAAGTAATTGCTGGTCGGCGAGTTGTGGCGGGTTAAGCTATGTAGGGTTTGCCGGACTAGTGGACCTCAGCCCTATAAGCCGCTAAAGCCCCAAACCCCCAACCCCCCCCCCCACCCACAACTCCCAAAAAAGCCCAAAACCCAAACTTCAAACCCTAAACCCAAATCTTTAATGTTTATTAAACCCTAAACCCTACAAACGACAAAAACCCCGAAGCCCTGAACCAACCCTAAACCCTGAACCCTGAACCCTAAACCCTAAACCCTAAACCCTAAACCCTAAACCCTAAACCCTAAACCCGAAGCGGCGAATGCCCTTGTCGGTGTGCGCGCAGGTGAAACTCCAACTGCAGCGGGTCTGGGGCCTGGTTGCACCTTTAGGGCTTCGGGGTTCAGGGTTTAGGGTTTATAGGGGCTTGGATGTATAGGGTTTGGGGCGTCAAGTTTGAGTTTAGGGTTTAGGGTTCAGGGTTTAGGGTTTAGGGTTTGCGAGCTCAAGGGCTTGCGAGATCAAGGTTTAGGGTCTTAGGCGTGAGGGCTCAAAGAAGGAAGTAGTCTAGGACCTCGTGTGTGTGTGTGTGTGTGTGTGTGTGTGTGTTTGTCTGTTCTTTTCTTTTCTTTCTGAGGGTGGGGTGAAGCTACCTGTTGATCCAACCGGGGTTCACACTCAATTTACATTCGCAGCTTACGGGGGGGCTTGATACAACCGGGATTCACACTCAATTTACATTCGTAGCTTGTTGGGGGGGTGGGGGGGGGGGGTTTCTAAAAGGCCCTAAGCGCTAAACCCTAAACCCCAAACCCCAAACCCCTCAGCTAGAGGTTTCGGTTGATTTTCGCTTTCAGGTTCGCTCGCGGGAAACGCAGGGTGTCTAGGATTCCAGGATTCGGGTTTAGGGTTTAGGGTTTAGGGTTTAGGGTTTAGGGTTTAGGGTTTAGGGTTTAGGGTTTAGGGTTTAGGGTTTAGGGTTTAGGGTTTAGGTGTCAAAGTATCGAGTAACTTGGACCGAGGAGCAGCATGGTCCACCCTTAGCAGAGCGCTGTACGGCAGTGCAGCGCAATGCCAAGGCACGTGAGCACCCACTTGAGTTGAGTGGGGCGTCCTTAGGGTCTGCTAAGGGTCGTGTGGGACCTGATGCCCTAAACCCTAAACCCTAAACCCTAAACCCTAAACCGTGTAAATTAGGGGCAAGCAGGGATGAGCACTCATCGCTGAAGCCCTACACGAAATCTGTGAACGCTGCGGGTCGGCCACCCGGTCCTTAAAGTCTAGAAGCTCTGTCCAGGGTGTGTCCGGGTGTTTAGGGTTTAGGGTTTAGGGTTTAGGGTTTAGGGTTTAGGGTTTAGGGTTTAGGGGGTTCCCGAAAACCACTGGGGGCTTTTGGGCTTCGGGCCTTTTTTGAAAGCCTCAGGGGTGGAGGGGAGGTTCCCAGAAGGTAACTTGGGTCCTTCTCCGTGGGGGGAGTTCTTGGGGTTTGGGAGTTGGGGGCCTTTCTAAGGGTAGTTGTATGGGCCCTTCATATGGTCCCTGACCTCCCTTGAAGGGTTTACCGCAGAGGGCCTTGCGAGGGATTCCCTTCAAGGCCCCAACGCTCGCCGCACGAGGCGTATTTAGCTCTCTCGGACCCTGAGTAGTTCTCCCTTATTCCCGTTGTTCAGGGTTCTTAGTAGCTGAGTAAGTACACTCTACACTTTTGGGATACTATAATCCCCTATAGAACTGAAAGTGTACACTTTTGGGCGGCTTATGAGCTCAGCAACTAAGGGTTTAGGTTCCCTTAACAAGCCCCTTAAAACCCCCCCCCCCCCCCCAAAAAAAAAAAAAAAAGTACCCTTGGTCTATCACGAGGCTACTCAGCTACTCTTGGGTTTAGGGTTTAGGGTTTAGGATTTAGGGTTCTAGGGCTCTCACGTCAAAGAGGGCTTTTGCCACTTGCCTGGTGCTGCGATGGCTCGCTTAATGTTCGGAGTTGCTGGTCTCTCGTGTCGAGGAGATACTTGCAGGCCATTTGCATACACTTTGATCCTGGACCCTAAACCCTAAACCCTTATGTATATAAAATCCGAGGGAGTATAGCTATTTCTATTCAGGTTCTAAGGGGAGTATAGCCAACCCCTAAACCCTAAACGCTAGTGCCAGGTTGCGGATTGCTTGGAGCGACTTTTAAGGCTAGCACGGCCCCCTAAAACCCTAAACCCTAAACCCTAAACCCATGAGCAGGATGGTGGGGAGGGCTTCGGAAGCCTGGCAGTTTTCAGTGTTCGTATGAACCTACGCTCCACCTTGCAGACCTTCCAGAAAGCCCAAACCCTAAACCCTAAACCCCAAACCCCAAGCCCTAAGCCCTAAGCCCTAAACCTAAACCCTAAACTCTCAAAGTAGAAGCTCTCATAGTTAGCCTCCCAGCCCGAAAAATCTCTGCCCCGCGACCTGAAAGCCCCCAAGTCCGGGTTTAGGGTTTAGGGTTTAGGGTTTAGGGTTTAGGGTTTAGGGTTTAGGGTTTAGGGTTTAGGGTTTAGGGTTTAGGATGAGAATCCTAAACCCCTAAACCCTTCAGGAGCTGGACCTGTGCAAGCCCCAACAGCTGCTAGAGCAGAAGAAGATATTCAGTGGCGGAGCTGCCTTGGAGGCGCGGGACGTGCAGGGATGCATAGGGTTTAGGGTTTAGGGTTTAGGGTTTAGGGTTTAGGGTTTAGGGTTTAGGGTTTAGGGTTTAGGGTTTAGGGTGTAGCATGTTAGGGTGTTCTAGCTGTTGAGGGGCTTTAAGGTCTTGCAACCCAGTGGTGCTTTTTGTTTCTTCCCGTAATTTATCACGTTGAAGCCAACATCGCATTTTAGGGTTTAGGGTTTAGGGTTTAGGGTTTAGGGTTTAGGGTTTAGGGTTTAGGGTTAAGGTTCAGGGTTTAGGGTTCCGTCTTGACTTCTCTAGACTCTGGGTCGGATCCCGCTGAAGGCCCATTGCCCAATTGAATGCGCCCCTGTGGCCCTGAACCCGAAACCCCAAAACCCTAAACCCTAAACCCTAAACCCTAAACCCTAAACCCTAAACCCTAAACCCTAAACCCTAAACCCTAAACCCTAAACCCTAAACCCTAAGCCACCCACAAGTAGTTCGAACCAAGCTGGAAGAAAGCTTCTATCAAGGGACTAAAAGAGGGACTCTTACAAGGGACCTTAGGGGTCCTTTAGGGGGCTTGTTGAAGGGCTTCTTCAAGGCTATATGAAGGCATGTGTAGGGTTACATAGGGTGAAGGGTTTTTTGTTGTAGGGGTCCATCCTTATACCCCTAAACCCTAAACCCTAAACCCTAAACCCTAAACCCTAAACCCTAAACCCCTCAATTCTAGAATTTAGCCCGCAGGAATCCTTGGTCTGTGCAGGTCTGGTTAAATCCGACTCTCTTGCGGGATGCCGAAAGCATGGCGGCCGCTCCCTCAGGCAGCCTCAGTCAAGGGGTTTAGGGTTTAGGGTTTAGGTTTGGGGTTTGGGGTTTAGGGTTTAGGGTCGGTTTGTCAGTGCGGTTTTCTCGTAGCAAAGTGCAGGTGCGCAGGGAACGCGAAACTTGATGGTTGAAAAAGCTTGGCACTGAACCTATAAACCCTAAACCCTAAACCCTAAACCCTAAACCCTAAACCCTAAATGGATGCGTGGCCACTCCCACACACTGCTGGCTCAAAAGCCTGGCGCAATTCTCTGCGACCGGCAAGGCCACTGCGCGCAGGGGACCCTGTGCGCACGTCTGTCGGGCACAGAGGTGCAAGCGACCCGCATGGCCATGGTCTCTTGTGGGCACGCCGGTGGGCCGCAAAGCCAGGATCGTAGGGTTCTTAAGGGAGGGGTTTAGGGTTGCTGAATTAGCACTGGCTTGCGGTTCAGTCACTGGTAGCCTGTGAGGGCTAAGGATCCGAGGATGTACTCGAAAGATAATGAGAATGATGAAAGGAGAGCAGCCGATTGACAGAAGCCAGCTGAAGAGGAGCAGACTTCAAGGCTCAGCTGCTATGGCACCTTTTGTCGACGCAGAAGAAGCTGCGCGGGGGCTTGCGCCCAGTCGGCTGCGAGAGTGTTCACTCTGCAGCACTTGCAAAGATATACGAGTCACATCAGAGCTGGTCATCAAATCAACACCGATCAAAATCTCTTTACTGATGTGACGTCAGAGTCGGAGTCTACTTTAGATCTCGTCTTGTTCTTCCAGGCCCGCTTCTTCTTCGCAGACACAAACTGCGAATCAAACTGTAAACAAAGTTCCCCTTTATGAATGGCAGTAAGGAGAGTCTGAAAAGAGAAAGGCTTGGACAGGTTATCAGCAAGCTGTTGATCTGAATCGACCCATTTGAAATGCATCCCAGCAGACTTGATGCGCTCGCGTATGGACAAAACCTCCAGGGCTAATCGTCGTTCTTCCAGTTGAAGACCACTGGTTTCAATCCTATGCACAGAATCATACAGGTTTTTACTGTCAGTAACCACGACGGACTGGAAACGACGGAGTGCCTTGTCCATGTCTTTATAGTCAATCACCTGCTGATTGTACCACTCTAGGAGAAGTTGTTTGGTGAACTCATGAGTATCCATGGCATGGCTACCTGTTTGAATTTCAGCCGCAGTAGAACTCCTACAGATTCTGGGGAGCTTTCGGGACTGCCAGCCTAGAGGAGAGTACTTACCTACCTTCCCTGCAAGAACACACTTGTCAACCAGCATAGTGAAGACGCCACCCTGGGATGATCCATCACGACGACAAGCGTACGAAGCATCATGATACGTAAGCAAAACCGGTTCGGAAATCTCGGACGGAAAATACAGTGTTTGTTGACTATAAATCCGTTGCATTCGGATCAGCTTGTTGGCTTGAATGAGATCTCCCACCTTGGCGGCTTTGTGACATCCTTGCAGATAGGATACGCTGGCGGCTAGCCATGGAGCCGATTGCGTGGCTCTCCAGGAGAGTGCTCCCAGAGCTGCTCGAAACTGTTTGCGTTCGTCTTCGGTTACCTCCAATTCGGGCTGTTCCTTCCGGACTTTACTTAGGGGAATCTCATTGATCCCTTCAGCATACCTTTCTTGGTTCAGCTCAATTGATCCGTCCTCCTTCTGGCGAATTTCACGCCCACAGAACATACTAGGCTCTTGCAATGACTTCCATGACCCAAAGGGAAAACTCTCTCTCAACACTTGAACTCGTTCCCGGAACCTCTCTCCAGAACCACAACAAAGGATGTCATCTACGTGAATCCCTATCAGACCGCATAAAGTCCTGTCAGTGTTGTAGAGACGCCATACACACGGTTCCAGTCGAGACTGCGTCCATCCTTGCTTCTGAAGTTCCTTGGCAAGCTTGTCAGCCCAAGCCCTGGGTGCATGGAGAAGTCCGTACACGGCTTTGAGAATCCTAAACAGTTCGTTTGGACGCATGTTTAACATTCTACGGACTTCTTCAGGAGGTTCCGCAAACACTTCTCTCTGGGCCTCGGTTTTGTCGCCGTTTAAGAACGCCGTCTTGATATCGCCTAAATAAGCATCCCATCTGTTCGCAGCCGCTAAAGCCAAGATCATGTTCCTGCTTTGGGTAGCAAGAGTCGGAGAGTCACGTTTCAGATGAAGAAGATCAGGATCCTGATAACCCTTGATGATCAACCTAGCCTTCGGCTTCTGTCCGGTAACCTCACCCTGTTCGTTAGTGACAGCCTTCCACGACAGGACCCAGCGCATGCCCATGACTCTAGCTGCCGGAACATTGTGTCTCTTTGCAATGGCAACAGCTTCATGTTCTAAATACGAGCTCAATTCACCTTGCATGGCCTTCATAAAGTCAAGTTTGTCACTATCCTCAAGATGCCTAAACTGAACTTCCGCGCGACGCTTGGGCTTGTCATTCAAAACCCAAACATGACTGCCTCGATGGTTGATCTTATGAACATCACGAGGTTGAAGATCCAAGGCAATCTCGATGACTTCGTGAGAGCTATTGAGGGCAGTGCTAAAGTGAACTTCAAGGTCCCGGCCTTCACCAGGTTGTTCCTTAGCATACGTGATACGTCTAGGCTTCTTCTCCTGGAGGCTTTCCCACAGGGGTTCAGCGGAGGCTCGTTGCCACTCAAAGCATCCAAACTTCAGGTTCTCAAGACCTGACTGTCCGTCATCGCACCCTGTTTCAAGGCCTTTGCTAAGAACACGCAAACTGCCTACTTCTTCTTCAGCGCAGCAATTTTCTATCTCATCCTCAGCGATGGGTTCGAGCGGACAGCAAGGTTCACACGCAAAAACCTGACCACTTTGGCTCGATGGAAATGGTGAGCGACTTCGTCCTCGGCTCACTTCTTCTCGGCCATCCATGCTTCCATGACGGTCAGGCGCTGGTTCGCGGATTCGGCCTTTTCGTCCGTCACCTGCGCTTGGGACATAATCTGGTATAGTGCCTGCTGCTGCTGAATGACGGTCTCTTCCAGCTGGGAGATTCGGCCCTTGAGATGTTCCACTGTCCCGTTGAGCATCGCGATCATCTGGGCCATGGCTCTGGGATTGACCTCGTCGACGATCTTCAGCCACTCGTTCGTCTCTTCGGGCTCTGTGCTCATCTCGGATCTGGTCGGCTCGCTTCCAGAACTCTTCGTGATCACCTTGACGCTGCACAGGGTCTTCTCGTTGTAGACGATGAGCTTGATGAAGTTCGTGTTGTCCTCCTGATGCTCCAGCAACCACTTCATGTAGCTGGGGTCCTGACTCGCTTCTTGCACTGTTCGGCCCTTGTACTTCCCGACTGTGATCTTCTCCTGGGCTAGGTCCTTGAGGTCCATGTTGAGGCAGCGTTCGCGTTCGGTCTGTTCCGCCTTCAATTTCTTCTCCTTCTGGCTCTCGGTGACCTTGGCATTGAGCGCCTGTAGGAGGGAGTTGTTCTAGCTGCCCATGGCGAGGTGGCTGTTTCCCGAAGATACGGAAAGGGGGAGCAGGACTTGGCGTCGGTTCACTTGGGCCAGGAACGACCGGCTCGTGCTCATGTATCTCTGAGTCTTCAGGTTCTTCGGCCAAATCCTGGGATATATCCCTGTAATTGGCCTGATTCCCAGCTCGAATGACATCATCAAAGGGGGAAGTGACGCCCTGACTGATTTCATGCGCCATACTCAGACTACTGGGCACCGCCCGCAGCTGCTCCGGCGCACAACGATACAAAATCGTCGCGTGAATGACCCATATAACCGAACCAACGCTTTGATTCCGCTCAGGAGATCCCTGCTTCTCAATGGCAACAACCCTTGCAGGCCCATGCCAACCGGCCTCATGCCTACTTGTGTTGTTGCGCCCTTTCCTATAGAAAAACACAAGCTGGCCTACCTGAAAGTTTTCGCTTTTGCGCGCACGTCCTCGCGCGGCGCGATGGATCCTGCGCCGGCTATCTGCTTGCAGGAAAGTCCTTCGCGCCGCTTCGGATCTTTGTAAGGACTCTTCAAAGGTCTCCTGTCCTCGGAGGCTTTGCGTTGGCAGATGGTTCCCATACTGCAAGTATGACTGCACCCTGTCGCATCCCTGACCAAAACACCACTGATTAGGACTATAGCCCCTGACCTGGTGCATCTCGTTCTTAGATGCCAAACAAAGCCCAAGAAGCTCCTGCGCTGCAACGTTTGGCCCCAGTTCCAAGGACAGCAAAGACATGTTCTCTTTCAGGACTTCAAGGTGTCTAGAGTGCTTACCAACCTGCCAAGCGGCCTCTCCCGCAATGACATTAACCTTAATGGCTTGTGCCTCAATCCAATCCAGAAGTCCTGAGTCTCGAAAGGCACCCTCGTCATCGAAGCGCAGGGTTTCAGGTTTTGGGAGATGCCGTAACCAACCCTGACAAAAAGCTTCCCGAAACTCCGAAGACCTGATAGACCCTTGTTTCTTGTTCCCTGACCGAAGCACTAAAGCAGTGTGGAAATCACTGGCCTCATCCAACCACGAAACCCCTAACACATGTTCTTTGGGATTACCCTGGGCGTCTTTGTGAGGACTGTGCCACCAAAAGGTGTCGACACTAACTACTTCCCACTTGCGAGTCGCATGTGGCACCTGCGCTGTGCGATGGGGATTGGCGTGCCCTCTCTTGGCACAATGGTGGCATTCATAGTTGGCTGCCAGCTTAATCAGGTCCTCTGAGGCCCGAGCGTCTTTGAGCATGCGAACAAGAACTTGATTTGAGGGATGACCTAGATTAGCATGTATCACTCTCAGCTTTTCTTTCAGGATACTGGGGTTCCATTGGGGCTCTTTGGTTTCTTTGAGTTCGCTAGTTTGCTGACTCGGCTCTTCAGGGTGATTTTGGACAGTCATGCATCGGTCAACTCGGGACTTCATCAAGACCTTCGCAAAAGACCTACAAAAACTCTGAGGATACACAGCAGTCTCAGCTACTGCCCTGCCGGCCACGGAAGCACGCTCATGCTCATGCCTACCGACTTTGTCTAGCGCTTCGCGAATTTCCGGACTACTACTGAGCCAACCCTTCTGAATAGCAAAACCGCTACATCTAGTCTCAGCCCCATAACGACAATCCTCAATTCTGAAACGCTCTCCCCCACAAAGTCTCACCATAAGCTTCACTGAAGGCTCCTTCCAAGACGCTGCACTAAGAGGCTGCTCTCCGCCGACATGTGTATCCTGGCAATCTGGCCCCATACCAGATTCACCCTGCAACTCCTGACGCTGCACCTGGATTAGCTTCAGGCAGTTGCGAAGGATCAAACGACCGTGAGCTCTTTGCTTGAGTTGTTCGGCTTCCTGTTGAGGGTTCTTGTGGTTAGCACAGCTAGGGGTGGTCCATGGGAAACAGGGAGGCGAGACATGCACATACCTAGGCCGCAACTTCCGGAGCGTAGCCAGTGCCTTTTTCAGACCCGCCTTAGTAGCCAGGTCATAACCACTGTGCAACCCCATTCGGTACGCATGTCCTCCAGCCTCTTCCACTGCCGTGGCTAAAGGTGAATCCTCTGAACAGCAAACTTCTAGCAAATCATATCGTGGCATGTCAACATGATTAACCTCAACCCTCAATCCCTGAACGATTCCCTCAAAACATTGAAGCTCGCTACGGGCCTGGTCTTGAAGTACTCTCTTCACATCTTCAGGGATATCAAAACTCAGCTCAGGATCGTTCGAAACAGTAGACTCCGGCTTATTTAAAACACTTGCTGGACTTTGCCCTGCGTCAATGGGCCTACGGCCACTCTGAGATTCTTCCAGCGAGTTTCTCAGGTGGAGCTGTCCCTACTCCTGAGCGACAGCTTCTTCTTTTGCGTCGAACATCTGGGCACAGGCCCTCAGGAGAGGACCGGCTGCATCCTGCGCCACTGCGGTGAGTGCACGGGCTTTGTCATGTCCTTCGAAGGCTGTGACGGGCATCAAGAGGTGGTACGTGGCAGCCCGCTCGAGCTGGATCACCTCCGGGCCCAAGAACGGGAAGATGGCTTGACCGCGCCCAAAGTCGATGATGGCCTTCTGCTCGTACAGCCATTTGCCGGAAAGGAGCAACGGCGTCTGTCCTTCAACCACATGCATCCCCAGCTTCTGCTCTCGACCATGGATTCCGGCCGTCACTGTGGCATGTCCTAAGGCCTGACTGGACTCGTTGTTGCCGAAGACGAAGGTCTTTCTGAGACGGTTGTCAAGCTCGATCTCCTGGTCGGGGTCGAAGCCCAGGCCCTCGAGCTCGGAATGGAGTCTCCGCAAGGTCAATGCTCCCACAATGCTCTCTGAGGCGCCGCAGTCCACGATGGCTCGCGTATTGTGCTCGGTCACCGCGCCCGTGAGAAGCGGCTGCGCCTCATCGTCCGTCCAGTTGGTGTACACCAACCCGACACCGATTCCCTTTCCGGGTCCTCGGCCTTTGCCACCTTGCGGACAGTTCTGCGCTTTATGACCGAAACGGCCACACCGCATGCACTTTCCACGGAACTCCACCTTGGCATCATCTCCTTTGGCCCGGCTGCTGTTGCCCTTGCTCTTGCCTTTTCCTTTTCCTTTGGTGTTCGGGTAGAAGCCGCGGTTGACCCGACTCTGATCCAAGGCCTTTCTGGCGTCCTTGTAGAAGGCTTTCTTTGCTTCGTTGAAGTTTGCCAGGACAACCTCATCGGACGGGTTCTCCTGGAGTGCTTCTAACGCCTCCTCAAACCAGATCTCGGTCGCTTCCTCGTCCTCTGGCTCCAGGGCTCCATCGTCCTCGGGGTCGGTCCACCATACTCCGGCTCCATCACCGTCTTCATCCTCGTACTCCTCAACTGCCATGTATGCCTTGGCGGACTTCTTTCTTTCCTGGTCTTTCACTACCAGGCTGTCTCCACCCCACATCTTCCGCAATGCCTTCCAGACATCAGCAAGCTTGTAGCTGGCCGTCTGCGACTTGAGAGTCGCCACGTCGGAAGGCTCCAGCCGGATATGCTTGTTGAGCAGGAACCAGCCGTAGATCTCTGACGGTACCTCCACGGAGGTCCCCATCTCTTGCAAGGCTCTGGCAATGTCCCGGAAGTGCACGGAGACGCGCTGCTCGAAGTCCGTTAGGCATTCACGGTCCTGACGAATGGCGTCACCTGACTGAAAGTACTTCTCAAAGGCCTCACCTAAGATATCAACCTGCTGCTTGCCCCGCTTCTCCTTCAAGTACTTGAGGAGGTAGTCGAGTCCTTCCTTCTTGCGGAGTTCAGCTCGGTCAATGTCGGTGCAGGCCTCCCAAGCCTTGCCCGTCAGATTCCTCGCCAAGCGAGGAGCGAGGGTCAGCTGATCTTCTTCCTTCAAGCCATCTTTCTCCAAGAGGCATGCCAAACGGAAGTCAGCATACGTACGCCAATCGCCATCCCACGTCGGCAGCTTGGGGTTCACTCCAAGTTCCGACGGTGTTGCCATCGGGCTCTCCTGGGGTCCCTTCGATCGTGACAGGCTCCGCTACCAGTGCTGAATTAGCACTGGCTTGCGGTTCAGTCACTGGTAGCCTGTGAGGGCTAAGGATCCGAGGATGTACTCGAAAGATAATGAGAATGATGAAAGGAGAGCAGCCGATTGACAGAAGCCAGCTGAAGAGGAGCAGACTTCAAGGCTCAGCTGCTATGGCACCTTTTGTCGACGCAGAAGAAGCTGCGCGGGGGCTTGCGCCCAGTCGGCTGCGAGAGTGTTCACTCTGCAGCACTTGCAAAGATATACGAGTCACATCAGAGCTGGTCATCAAATCAACAAGGGTTTAGGGTTTAGGGTTTAGGGTTTAGGTTTCAAGGAGGGTATGTAGCCCAAGGCTCCCTAAGCTTCCCTGAGGTGCCCTAGGCACCGACCCCCCATGACCCTTCCTGAAGAACCCTATAACCTCAAGCCCTAAACCCTAAACCCTAAACCCTAAACCCTAAACCCCCTTTGTCAGGAAACGTTTCTTGCGTGGTGCTATGAGCGTTGCCACAAGACTGAGCAGTACGAGACATGGTCTTACCTGGAGACTTGGCATCCCAGTGGTGCCGTAAGGGTTTAGGGTTTAGGGTTTAGGGTTTAGGGTTTAGGGTTTAGGGTTTAGGGTTTAGGGTTTAGGGTTTATGGTTTAGGGTTTAGGGTTTAGGGTTTGGTTCGAGGTTCCCTTACAACATGGCCAAACCCAAAAAGGGTACCCTTTGGGATGTGCCCTCTAGGGATGATAGTCGGTGGTTTACTGTAATCCCTATCAAGGACTGTTAGTATCGGGGGGATCCCGAGGTACCCTCATCGTAATCTGGTTCTTGGGCTACCAATCACCCTAAACCCTAAACCCTACACCCTAAACCCTAAACCCTAAACCCTAAACCCTAAACCAAGGAGAGTATCGCCAACGATTTCGGCTTGTCACTCCAACGATTCAAGAAGTCGTCGGGCTTCCTCGCTTGGCTGGAGGAGATGGAGGCTTACGATCATAAGGGACCCCTAAAATTGCGGTTTAGGGCTTGGGGTCTGGGGTTTAGGGTTTAGGGTTTAGGGTTTAGGGTTTAGGTTTGGCGATAGCAAGGGGCCCCTGAATTTCGACTCCCAAATAGGATTTCCGTCGAATACGGACCCCCAAGAAGGTACCTCCTAATATCGCATCAACCCCTCGTATGCAGGCCGGCAAAGTCCTTGTGTTGGCAGACTGGCGCGAAGCAAAGCCTCTCGCTGAGGGGCTTGATGTCTTGGCAGCTCAAGGCAAGCTACTCCAGGTCCGGATGTGTATCCTTGCTGCATCAGACAAGATCTATAGTCGTGCTTCAGAGTGGGCGGGAATCGTTCGACAGGGTGGTGGCAGGGAGACTGTCGTGTTGCGCGGCTTCTCGCATGAAGGCATTGAGGACTTCATCGCGCCAAGCATCGCAGAGGTTGGACCACTCCGAAAATGGAGGAACAAACTCGCCACTTCCAGCCCCATGTCGTGTGCCCAGGATGTTGGCACGACTTCAGTTCAGACGCTTCCTGAAGTTGCACCAGGCACATTTGATGTCGCTGCCGGGCTGGCTACACCTTTCTGCATCAACTTGTCCTTTTCGGCCTTGGCACGGACATTGCAGGACCCACAGAAGGCAACAAAGCTAGAGGAGATGATTCGGTGCACCATGTGGCAGCAGCGCTATGAGGATTGAGAAGTCGGCCAGTGACTGCAAGTGAGAGCTAATCGAATCCCGCCCGGCCAAATGAGAACTATTCTTCCTTATGAGGGTAATATGGGGCATTGTCATCTTTCGTTGTTTGCGTGATAGTTGTTTCTGGTGCCATTTTCTTCTCCGGGCTCAGGGGGACCTACGAGTTTTGTATGCGAAGCTAGACCCAGAGTTCATGGGCGTCCCTACTGCCACGTTTCCCCCTTTAGATAACCCACGGTTTAGGGTTTCGGGTTTAGGCTTAGGCTTTAGGCTCAAGTCTCCCTAAATAGCCTACATAGCCTCAACTCGGGGGGGGGGGGAACCTAGGTATATAGGGGAACCCATCATTCGAGCTGGCTGAGATGGAAAGCTGCCATTTGCATGTATGGCAAGCAGGTCTCAACCCTGAACCCTGAATTCAATAATAAACCCTGACACCGCACTGTCAGATGAATATGATGAACCGGAACTCTACTATCCGGTTCTGACGAATATGATACTGTTTACTCTAGATCAGTTGCTTAGATGAAAACTACTGAGGCCTTAACAAGAAGCTCTCAAGCCTAAACCCAGGCTAAACCTCACCAAGCTTATTATTCTCTACGCCAACGGGCCGAGACCATCACACAGCCAGCTTGTTGCTCCACACGTCTTGTAGATGTTAGATACTGTTCCCACTCAGGAATAGCTGACATATATATATATATTACTTGTAAGGTAGATTTCTAAGGGCCCTGAATTCTAGGCCTAGTATGGACTGTTACTGTTGTCGTATGGGGGGGGGGGGGGTACCCAAAGGCGTGGGTGACCAAATTGAACGCTAAACTTGGGGTCATATACCTCATACTACCATAATTCCTATTCAGGTATTCGAACCATGAACCCTTTTAGGGTTCATTTGGTCCCCAAGCAATAGATGACCCCTCTTCAGTGATGCTAGATGCTGTTCCTGGACTTTGCGCTGTGTGTCAGGTTCGGAAATTGGGTTAGGGTTTAGGTTTAGGGTTTAGGGTATTGGGTCTTGGGTTTAGGTCACACGCGTCCGCAGGTCCATGTCACCTTGGTAGCCCAGCGGTACACTTGTGCCCGTTTTTTGGGTTCTACATATAGTAGTTGAATGAGTACACCTTACACTTTTTGCGATACCACACTCCCCTGTAGAACGGAGAGCGTACACTTTTTTGTACCGGGCTGCCAAGAGTCGAGCGTTCATTTTTCAACTAGCAGTGGAGCTGCAGAAGAACTTCAGGAACCCTTGCCAGGAACCCTTGCCGAAGATAGTCGGACCTGGAGTAGGCCCTCATACCGCCTTGTCTTAACGGGCTTAGCTTCCCTTATAAGCAATTTTAAAATCGGAACAAGTGTACGTACTTTTGTTTCCTAGGTAACTCCTGGGTAGATTGCAGAATGCTCCTCTCTGAACTATACTATGCAGTTATACGAATGCCCCTTCACGTACATGATGCCAAAGGGTTTTGGGTTTAGGGTTTAGGGTTCAGCCATATTCCTAGAGTAGGTATTCCCCCTGTTTTAGGGTTTTCGTTCCCTTAGAAGCCCCTTCAAGCCAAGTTCTGTAATGTAGGCTTCCCTAAACCCTAAACCCTAAACCCTAAACCCTATACCCTAAACCCTAAACCCGCAAGGGTTCATTACCAGCCGCAGCCCCCAGTACGTCGAACTCGTGCACGCGGCTGGGCCAACGTTGTGGCTGCCCATAGTTTTCTTGACCACTAACTTGGGATGTTCCCCCCTAGACGAGCAGTCCTTTAGGACAGTCCTTAGTCGAGATTAAAAGAGGGGGTTACTCCAATCCCTGTTAAGGACTGCTAGTATAAGGGGCAACATCCCAACCTAAACCCTATAAACCCTATAAGCCCTCAACCCTAAACCCCAAACCTAGAAGGCCCCTATAAACCCTCAACCCAACAGCCCCTATCCTCAGCAATCCTGAGCACAATCACAACCTTAAGGAGCCCTAAAACCCTTAAACCCTAAACCCTAAACCCTAAACCCTGTAACCTTATCAGCCCTTTAATCCCCAGTAGTCCTGAGCACGATCACAACTTCAAGGCGCCGGAATCCTAGTGAAACCCGAGCGCCCTTTGGCTTCGAGGCCTTTTCCAGGTGGCCTCTGCCCTATAAGAGGGAAGGCCGTACTTTGATTGGGTTTAGGGTTTAGGGTTTAGGGTTTAGGGTTTAGGGCTTAGGGTTTAGGGTTTAGGGTTTAGGGTTTAGGGTTCAGGGTTCAGGGATGTAGGGTGTGGCGGTTCACGTGCTGCTGCTTTGCCTGCCAGCACCATGGGACGTGTGGATGTGAAAGTATCTGTGGTAGCCCAGTGGTACCCCTAAACCCTAAACCCTAAACCCTAAACCCTAAAGCCTAAACCCTAAACCCTAAACCCTAGCCCCAAACCCTAAGCCCTTTTTGCCTTTGTGTCTTTTTGGTTCAAGGTTCCCCTCTAAAGTAGCCAACCCCAAAAAGGGTTTAGGGTTTGGGGCTATCAAGAGATGTTACCGGACGCAACTGGACCTGTTTGCTTGATATTGTGGCATCAGAAAGAGACAGCCGGGAGGTTTTGGGCAGAGCAAATGGGGTGAACGAGACGGGTGCGGTTTAGAGTTTACGATTTAGGGCTTAGGGTTTACGGTTTAGAGTTTAGGGTTTAGGGTTTAGGGGTTCAGGGTTTAGGGTTTAGGGTTTAGGGGTTCAGGGTTTAGAGTTTAGGGTTTAGGGTTTAGGGTTTAGGGGTTCAGGGTTTAGGGACAATGAGCACAGAGCCCTCTAGCCATCCTTGGGCCCGAAGCCAGCAGCAAAAAGCTTAGACTGAGACATGCTGTCTGGACCTTCAACCGAGGGTTTAGGGTTTAGGGTTTAGGGTTTAGGGTTTAGGGTTTAGGGTTTAGGGTTTAGGGAGTGAACAGTTCAAAACAAACGCAGCCGTAACGATGACATGGGCCCAGCCTCAAAGGATCCACGGGAACTTATATGTGCAGGCTACCCTACTCTGGATCGACAAATGTGATGATGATCTCTATGGTATCTCAGCTCAAGCTCCTTATCAGCAACCCTAAACCCTAAACCCTAAACCCTAAACCCTAAACCCTCTGCAACCCGACCAAGTACGAGCCGAGGTTTCAGGCGCGACACCGCAGCGGGTCGCGCTGCCTGCCTGGTTTAGGGCGTTTTTGGGGTTTAGGGGTTTTAAGTAGGTTTAGGGTTTAGGGTTTAGGGTTTAGGGTTTAGGGTTTAGGGATTGAAGGGTTTGTAGGGTTTATGAACTGCTCAAGAACCCCACACAAAACACACACATTCTTCCTTATGAGGGGTAATATGGGGATTAGTATCTTTTATTGCTTGGGGGGTTCTTAAGCAAATTCTAGTTGAGGGCCTTTTTCGGGTTTAGATGGGTTCAGGGCTTAGGCTTCGAAAACTCGGCACATGCACTGGGAAAGCGTAATGGGAAGGTCAAGCATGTTGGGTTTAGGGTTTAGGGTCTAGGGTCTAGGGTTTAGGGTTTAGGGTTTAGGGTTTAGGGTTTCGGGTTTGGGTTTAGGGTTTAGGGTTTAGGGTTTAGGCTCTCTAGGAATCAGGATTTGAGGCTCAGGGGGAGTGGCAGGAGCTTGCCAGAATTTGACCCAAAGCAACGCTTAACACTCTTGGGCCAACTCTTGGCCTGGAAAGCTATAAGCCCCAAGCAGCCAACATTACACCTTCCCTGTCTTGAAGGTTCATAGCTAGCTATGAGTAGAGCCTAAGTACGGATGCCTAAACCCTAAACCCTAAACCCTAAACCCTAAACCCTAAACCCTAAACCCTAAACCCTAAACCCTAAACCCTAAACCCTAAACAACACCATCTCAGACTTCCCACACCTACTTGCAGGATCATATTCCGAGCCGTGTCAGCCCTCGTAGGCTTGTGATCAGCATCGGCCGCTGTAAGGTTGCTTTTTCGCGCTTAGGGTTTACGCCTCCTGTCTCGCCAGGATGCACGGCTGAAGATCTGCAAGGTTGGGCAGGACGCCCTGTTTTTTTTTTTAGGGGGGGGGACGGGTTTCGAGAGCAGAAGGGTGCTATCTTGCCAAGCAGCCCTACATGCTTCCAGTCGGGCTTTGGCATGATCCCCCTGAAAAAAGGCAGAGGATCTACAGATCTACAGGGATTTACAATTGAAGCCCCCCCACCCGCCTCGGCTCCACCCCGCACCACCGGTCATCCCTAAGTTCTGTCAGGAAACAGGGACCTGGGAAGCTCTAAACCCTAAACCCTAAACCCTAAACCCTAAACCCTAAACCCTAAACCCTAAACCCTAAACCCTAAACCCTAAACCCAAAACCCTAAACCACCTAAACCCTAAACCCTAAACCCTAAACCCTAACCCCCCCCCTCCCTACCTCCTAAGCCCACCCCCCGCCCCCTTGCAGGAAGAGTCGCATGTGGCATTCCTTCATCCCTCACCCCTGGTGCAGAAGCACATCGTGCTGGTGCCCGGTGCCCAGAATGAGGACGTAGGGGGCTGACTTAGGGGTTAGGGTTTAGGGTTTAGGGTTTAGGGTTTAGGGTTTAGGGTTTAGGGTTTAGGGTTTAGGGTTTAGGGTTTAGGGTTTAGGGTTTAGGGTTTAGGGTTTAGGGTTCTTTGGCACCAGAAAACTAGGAGGCAGAGGAGGCCCTCATTCCTTTTGGGGGGACTGTCGGTTCCCTTACAAGACCCTGTAGACCAGAAAAGGCACCCTTCTTATTCCTAGGCTACTCGTGGGTCTAGAGACTCTAAGCAATACAAAAGGATCATTTTTGGAGTACCCGCCCAATGTAGGATTTGCCCAGCCTCAGCTAGGACCCCCAGCTGGGCCTTTCATATCTGCCCTCTCCTTGTTATCCTGCATCATTCCTTTCCAGGGCTTTGGGAGGTTCAGGGGTGTAGGGTTCAGGGGCTTGGGCTTTTAGGTCAGGTGGGGGGAGGGGGGCTGTCGTTGTGGGTTTTGAGGATTTAGGACCCTGAG